TTTGTTTGATTTCTCTAGAACTTTCATAACTTAGCTTAGCACTAACTTGTAGTTTGTAGTATTTTCTAGAATTGATCTCTAGAATCTTCTTTAAGTGAATTAATAATTTAACATATATAGGGAATTTTTACGTTCTAATTATGCTGGTTGAATTTGTTATGAGTAACGATTATGTTTGTACTGAAAATAAGTTTACTTGCAGATAATTCCTTGTTTATAAATTGTGGTGGTGAGGAGCTTAACGTGGGAAAGGATCATTATCACAACGACACCTCAACATCAAGTTTTAATCTCAGTCCATCTGACGATTGGGCTTATAGCTTTTCTGGGGACTACCTCTGGGCAACTGTCAATGCCAGTACTTTCGTAAGAAACTCAACATGTAAAGATTGTAGTCCTGAGACAAAGATAGATAATGATTTTCGCCTAGCTCCGATTTCTCTAATGTATTATGGGCTCTGCTTACATAAAGGCAAGTACATTGTGACCCTTCATTTTTCTGAAACATTGTATTCAAAGGGTGAAGATCATAGCATAACAGGGAAACGGGTGTTTGATGTTTATATTCAGGTAAGAATTTCACTTTTCAGAATGCCAGTTAATGTACTCATATCACATTTTAAGGAAATCTTGATTGTAGGGACGGTTGGTGAAGAAAGATCTCAACATAAAGGAAATCCCTGAACTACAAAATGAAGTAAGAAAGCTAAAATTCCCAGCTAAAATAAATGAAGGTTCGTTGGAGATCAAGCTTCTCTGGGCAGGCAAAGGATCTCTGTACAATCCACCTGGTATCAATGGACCTCTCATAGAAGCTATTTCCGTCACTCGTGGTAGGAAGCTACTCTTCCTTTTTTGCTAAAACCTTGCAGAATTCTGTTAGTCAGTTCTTTATATGCTGTGAGAATCGTAGTTTAGAAACTGGGGTAGACCTGGCCTAAGGTCCGGTTGCAGATCAGTAAAGTTAACCCAGATTTTTCTTTCAAAAAAGAGCATGACACAACATTGTTTTTAAAAATTCAACTTTCTCAACTGACCGCCTTGGTTCAAGCCTTAGGATCAAGACCAGGTTTTAGAATTTTAGTGAGAATAATTTATTGCATGATTGACAACTGCAGCTTTTTATGTTTCTGAAGTTTCCAGAAAACTACATCGTTGGGAAATCGCGTTGATTACAATAGGCTGTCTTTTGTTTCTGATGTTGTTGTTGGCGTTCTCCTTGAGAATGGGCTGGATAGGAGGCAGAAAATTGCGCAGTGGGCACTAAGCGAAGGTAATATTAGTTCTCTATCTGAAGAATTCTTAAAATAATTGTGGTGTGATTCACTCCATTCATGAGTGACTTTCAAAAGTGATGGTGTTGTTTTTTGTGGGCCAGCTATCAAGAAATGCCAGGTTGCCACCTGAAAATGGTACCTTTAAGCCTGAACGATGTATATCTCATCTACAAAAGGCAGCTCATCAGCGTCAAGCATGCATGTTTGAAACCATGATCTCAAGAGTTTTTATTAATTGATGTAATAATACATTAGGATGTTTGTTTTTCATTGGTTTAAAAATTCAAAAAAACAAGAAAATACTTCCCTTTGATCTAAATCGATATCTGAGATTTTGTGACCGATGAAAGTGTTGTGTAAGCCGGAATGCCCAGCTCCTAGTTTTGGTTTTGGTGTCATTAAATCAAATCAAATCATTCGAGGGAAGGTTGATCCCTTTATGAAAATACTGTTGGATATGTGATTAAAGTTCCACGTTGATTAAAAATAGAGAGGATCATGAGTATATAAAAATGAATAAATATCTTTATTGATATAAGGATTTTTGGATATAGTCCAAAAACAAATATATAAAAGTTTAGATTCAAAATGAACAATATCATACTAATATAAAAATAGATGATATCCATAAATCCTTACATATACGAGTTTGCAAATACTGCACATAGATCTTGATTTCGTTGCACTTGGTTAGTTTCCTCATGTTTGGGGAGCTTGGCACAAGATTACCATAACGTCTTGATATACTGCATGCTTAAGCTTCTTAAGCTGCTCGATCTTGGCTGTGATCAGCTGATAGTCATAAATTTTACTTGTTCAGTCTCGTTAATCCTGACTACTTTTTATCAATGATGCTCAAGCTGAAATCAAATAGCTAAGTTAATTAACTTGACAAATCGGTTTTACTATGTTAACTTGTTTTCTTTTATTCTCTCGGTTTTTAATTTCCTTTTTCTGATCAATGACGCATGCCATGATGATGATATTCAGATCAGCCAGAATGTGGTCTACCAAACCGAAAAATAGACCGAGGGGTTAATTGTATCATATTCATTGTAAAGGAGTTATTGGACCAGATTAACTTGGTGAAGGGCATGTGGAGATTTTAAGCCAGTCATCCTCCAATCCTTGATTTAAATACAATTTCAAATTTTAATTGTTCCCAATCTTATGGGAATAAATAAAAAACAGTACTTAGTATTTCCTGATTCCATTTCTTTTTTTATATATATAATCATCGATATATTTATTATTGTTAGTCATTCTTTTTCCTTTTCTTTTTCATTTTTATCATTGGTATTTTGCACTTTTCTTATCATTGTATTCTCTCTTTATTCCTGTGATATTTTTAAATCAGAATCAGAGACGACTGAAAGTAACAAAATACAAGAAAAAATATATAAAAAAATAGTAAAGAATACAAAAGGCATTGCTCTATGCTGAAGCAATTACTTTGATTACTATCCAAAAGAAGTCTTCCTCACTTTAGTTTATCAGTCCCCAGTTCCCCCCTTCACGTGTAGACGAAAATAGAAAAAAAAATTAAAAGAGAACAGTAAAGTATTAGATTTTCAACAAATAGACATATATATATATATATATATATATATATATATATATTATTTTCTTCCAATATATATTAGTGAGAAAAGTATTTCAAAATGCCCAAGAAATTTCTGAAAACTAGTTGAGGAAAATCAAATATACAAGATTAAAAAATTTATCAGTATGTTTTTATTAATGAAGACCTTGTTGGTAAAGAAAATTTAATTTAAGGATGAAAAATCAAAATTGAATATTTACAGATTCAATTCAAATTTTACAAGGTTTAATTGAATTTATTAAGGAATTAATTGCAAGAAAAAATTATTTTTGAAGTCAATTTAGAATTTAATTAGAAGAAATTAAAGTTTGGAGACCGATTTGCAATTTTTTAGAGTTAATTTGATCAAATCAGAGACTTAATTACATAAATATTAAAGTTTGATGAGCAATTAAGAATTTAGTTAAAAAAATCCAAAACCAAAGACCATATTAAAAAAAAACGTGTGTGAATATAAAAATTAAAATTAATAAAATTAAAGGCTTATAATAAGCACCTACATATTAATTATAGATATCCCTTCATTTTATAAAAATATATGCTTATTTTTTAAAATTTAAAAAAAAACATAATATGCATCAGTCTCAACGGCTTTAATAAATATTCAATATTTAAGAAAGTATGGACCATGAATATTTTAGGAATAATATTTTAGTGCAATAAGAATTTTATTATTATAACAATATTATAATTTCTTTTGTAAAGAATCTTTGTCCATTGAACTTTATATGTATTCTAAATTTATAAATAAAATATTAAATTTATTAATTTATTATTATATGAATATTAAATATAAATTAAATTTTTAGTAATAATAAATATATATTTATATAAATATAATAATATTATATTGATTGGTTATCGGTAATTTACAAATGGTGAAGGTATAAATTCATCGTTCTCTTATTCTTGCACTACTAAATTACAAACAAATAAACTAGTGTTGCTACATCGTTAATGATCCTATCAGTCATTAACTATTATGAAAATAATGTTTTCTTTCTGATTTATTAGATGAGTACTGTTCATAATATAATAAATTATTTTAAAAAAATTAACTTCTCTGAAAGAAGTTATTTAAACCTTTTTTTATAAAAAAAGATTATGCAAAAGTTTCTGGTCCTAGCCATCTCAACCGTCGATGTATCTACATAATAAGGTTTGTTGAGTACTTTTACCTTAAACATGATAAGATATTAAAGGAATTTTTTGTGTGGAAACCATTTGCATGCAGCACACTGTTCTGCTTGACGTGGATTTTTTTTGCCCAGTTGTGTGGAAACCATTTGCATGCAGCACACAGTTCTGCTTTGACCTGGTACGGACTGTCATTATAGTTTATGTGCTCGTCAGTTTCAATATTTGTGGATTGTTTTTCTCATCTTTTTCTTAATTTTCTTGATGTCTTTGGGCATTTATATTTGAGTCTTCTTACAGGAAGAATATGTAATGGCTTTTTCCTTACTCTTTACTCTTTTTTTTGGAATTATAGCCCCCAGAGAGCGGACACCTCGTTTGAGTTATGTGACTTGTATTGTACACTGCTTAAGCCACCGTGTTTCGCATGATCCACTTGCAAGTTTGATGCTGCATTTTTTTCTTTTTCCTTTCTTGTCTTTGGAAAATTCAGCAGCTTTGCTTCCTTTTTCGCTGCCTTGCTTTGCTTCCTTCTCCAGCGTTGGCTTGGTGTTTAATGTATCCCAAGTTCTCAGAAAAGAAAATTTTAATATCATCAACAACCAGTAAACAACCCATTAACAAGTGACTTAACAACACCTGTTTTCCTGACCCACTGCTTAATTAATCATTTAAGTACAATTTCGAGATTTTAATTGTTCCTGATCTTCCTGTTTAAGTATTAGCTGATCCCATTTCTTTTTCTTTTTATCACCTCGTTTGTGCACTTTTTCTTGTCGTTCTCTTTTTATCTTTCGTCTTTGTTATTTTTTTGTTTCGCAACAAGAATCAATTTCAAGGAACAAAATACAAATAACAGTAAAGAACACAAAAGGCATTACTGTATGCAGAATCGATTACTTTGGTTACTTTCCAAAAGAAATCTTCCTCTTTAGTCGCTATCCAATAGCCCAATATCAGTCCCTGTTTCCCCACCTTGACGTCGTGAGATGATATCATTCCTTTGAATTTTGAAGATTACTTCAGGAAGAGGAAAACAACAAAGCTGTTGAAGAGAACAAAGCATCTGATTGCCAGTTGTAGATAATCTCTCTTTTGACAACACAGTTGTGAATTACAAGGTGTTTTATCGTTTTTCTGCATGTACATTTATATATAAGAACACAAGAGTAGTGGCACATGCACCCTCACCAAGCAAAGCACGGCAGAAGTACTACTGTTATGTCGAAACTAATGGGTTCTGAATTGTCAGTAATACTCATTAGTAGACTTCTTCTCCTCGTCCCTCTTCTCCTATGGCAACTTGGCACTGGCACTACTTTCAATATTGGAACTAAAGCTGCTGCTGATAATGGCGATAACACTACAAAAATCGGTACCCTTAAAGATTCTGAAGGTACAAATTAATCGATCTCCTATTCTTTCGAAGATGCTGAATATATTTTTAGTTGTTATCTAGAATTGAACCCCTACCAAACTTTAATTACTAATTGATGTAGGATAGAGTTAAAGCATGGGGATAGAAGATTAAAAAATTCCTTAGAATTAAGTCGATTAAGAAGACAATATATAATTAGAGAGAAATATAAATCTAAAATCTCATTTAATTATATAAATTTTTATGTAGAGATAGTTATTTCTCAAATTACTTTCACTTTAAATTTATAAAAGTATAATATAAAATTATATTGTAAAGCCTCATTTCATTTAAACTTTTAAATTGAAATCATTATTTAAAACATTCAGTTCAAACTTATGTAGTCCTCAAAATTTCCATTTTTGGTTAATGTATTCCATCTATGTATTAATGTAGATTGAGTATTTTTATCTTGAACATGAGAATATCTTGTTGGGATTTAATCAAAAGAACTTTTGTGTGCTGAAACCTTTGGCAGCAAAAGCTCTTGAACTCCTTGTCAGCAGTTTGCAGTCCAATGAGACAAAGCCGGTCAAGTTGAGTTTGGATTGTTCAAACGAAGAGGATGCCGAGATTAGATGTTCCTGTGATAACAGCAATGAACCTTGTTCCATCACTGAAATGTATGTCCTAGACTTGATTATAAAATCAGTTTGTTATTAACAAAATCAAGCAATAGAAAAAGAAATTAAGAGAAATTTTGCATAAAACCTATAAAAAAAAATAATCCTCTTTTTGTGAATCACTTTAATTTCTATGTCAGAAATTTGTCAGGCAAAAAATTAGACGGACAGATTTCCTCTTCAATAGGTGACTTTGAGATCTTGAAAATACTGTAAGTACCATCACTCCATCTCATTGCATGACTTGTACATACACTACCGTGCCGTGTGCTGTGCTTGTTGAGCTAAACATGGTTACAGTGATGAAATTGAGGTTTGATCATCTTGCCACAACAGTGATCTATCCAACAATCAGCTTACTGGTGAAATTCCTTCCTCGCTGGGGAAATTACAGCTTCTCGAAATATTGTATGTTAAAGCTATGATTAGTGATTCTATATATATATAAATGATGCCATGGGCTCTGCTTAATTCTAACGGTAAAATGCCTTTGTGCAAAAATCAGGGACCTTGCAAACAATATATTGACCGGGTCGATACCTGATAACCTGACACCGTTGCAGAATCTGAAATCTTGCAAACAATATATTGACCGGGTCGATACTTGATCGCCTGATACCGTTGAAGAGTCTGAAATTCCTGTAAGCCTGTCCCAGTTGCTTCCAGTTTTAGGATTTAATCCCTTTTTTTTCCCCTCACAAAACAAGAAACAAACAAAGAAAATGCATTTCTAAGAGTATAATTTCTCTGTGCAAAACCAGGGACCTTACAAGCAATACGTTGACCGGTTCCATTCCTGCGAACCTGACAACTTTATATAATCTGAGAAAACTGTAAGTACTTCATAAAAAAACTCTTACCTTCCATTCCTTTTCTTTTTAATGTGATCGTGATAGAGTTGAGTCAAGATAGAACAATTTTATTTTTTTTGTTACGGAAAAATAAAAATATTAACATCAATTGAACTATAACTTTTTGGCAATAAAATATATTAGATAAGTGTACGTAGTTCAGTCCAATCATATAACTAATAAATTATATATAACTTATGATAAAATAGCTGTGAGATTCAATATTTTGTGTCGACTCATAATGAGGCAGAATCGTGCAAGAAAGCTGCAAATCCTTGTTCCATAGTTCAATTTAATTTAAAAGGTGCTTGGCTTCGTCTTTTTATCTTTAAGCTGTAAAATAATATTTGTAAAATTGCTTTTGGTCATAATTAACAAAACAAAACAAATTATAAAATAAAATTCTTCCTTTAAAGAAGCATAGGAGCATGCTTAGAATGATTTAAGAGATAAAGATACACTTATAAACAAGGATGAAGCCAGCCAGAATATTATTTTTGAGGGGGTTAAATTAAAAAACAAAATTAAAAGAGCTAAAAAGTTAAAATTTACTAATTTTAGAGCTAAATTTTTTAATTATTTAAGAAAAAAAATATTTTAGCACGGGCCGGGGCCACTACCTCCGCCCCTGCTTATAAAATTATGTTAAGCTAATAGCTAATCCAAAATATCCTTCTATCTTTTTTCAATGGCATTGATCATGCTTTTTTTTTACCCAAACATACTGTTTCGAAAGAAAAAAAAAGGTATATTATTTTTAAACTACTGCACAAAGAGTTCTCTTTTAGTCCACATATTGTCCCATCTCATATAAAACTCAGATATATGGACAATTTTCATGGATCCTATGTGCATGTAAGAAAGAGGTATACAACAACCACCGATTTCTCTTGCAAGATTACTTGATATAGAGTGTATTGTCTCTAAAGATAGTGAAGAAATATAACTTTGCTACATCATATATAATTTTGCTAATCATTTCAAACACTGCGCTAAAAAGTTCTAAATATTGACTGTTATATTACCAATATTCGTAGAAGTACATAATTCAATCCGTTGAAATTAACTGAAGGACTTTTTCTTCTGGTATGTGTGAGTGTGGTGACTTCAACTGAACAACATTCTAGCCTCTAATGATCATAACCATGCTAAGAATTTTGAATTATGCTCTAAGAAGTTCCATTGAATGCTCCAAGAAAGTTTATTCAATTCAGTCAATTGAAATTTACTGAAAGTCTTTCTCTTCTTGGAACCCGTGATGATTGTACCCGAACAGCAGACTTGCCGACAACAATCTTGATGGTGAAATCCCTAAGAACCTGAAAGGTTTACAATGGCTTGGCTATTTGTAAGTCAATGCTATGTATGCTACCTTTGCTTTTATATCTCTAGTCTTGGTTTACATGTATTCGTGTGTATGTGTGTATCCTCATTCGTATATATGTCCATCAGGGATCTTGAAAGGAATAAATTGACAGGCAGTATACCAGACAGCATAAGTTATTGTAAAAATTTGACAGCCATGTAAGTCTTTCTCCATGTAGCCGAACATGTACTCCTTTTCTTGTGTGGTGAAAATTAAGTAGAGCTGGTAATGGATAGATAGCAACAGTACATAATAAGTCTTTCAAATTAAATACATAAAAAAAAACATTGATTACACAGAATCAATGTTATGTGTACATTAAATCTCAGATGACACTTTTTACGATGGTTAAATACGAGGCGTTCATTGGCCAAAACAACGTTTGATGCAGTTTGTCCATTAGGTATAGTTGTTGTTTTGTTTTTCTGTGTTCTCACCAAGTGGTGATCATTCCATTTAACATTTTGGGTTGTAAATATGAGACGTTTGGTTTGAATATCAACTAGTTAATTACTAAAAAGTTTGTTTTGATCTTTAAGATAATAGTGTGAATGATCATAGTATGTTAGATAATGTCATGGAATTATATCAGCTTAAATATTTAAATGAGATTCAAATAATGGTTTTATAATAATTTTTTAACACTCTCTCTCCCTCAAATAAATTTGTTTTTGAGAATTGAGATTTTCACCGTCTTAATAACCAAATATCCTTCCGTCACTATAAAATAAAGCCAATGCAGGTAAAGTGCACTTCCACTTTGTTAAAAACAACTGGCACGCACGTGATGAGCGTGCGTGCCTGTCTGCACTTATAACACAAGTGGGTGGACTACTCTCTTAAAAAAAACAAAAAAAAAAAAGAGCATATCTTTATCGTTGAATGTCAACAATCCTTTAATATAATTAGTATATACTCTAATAACTTGATGTTTGTGGAATGCTAACAATTTAACCTTTAACTCTAAATCGAATATTTGTGAATCGTCTCGCAGCCTTCTTCGGCTCAACAACCTGGGAGGTACCATACCTCGAAGTTTGGGCTCACTCTCTAAGCTAAAATTTCTGTAAGGAACTTCAGAACCAGTTGTTAAGTTACATGAATATGGTTTCAGCAATCATAATTTTTTTTTACCGCTGTTATCATTCGAACATGATTGCTTTTTTATTACACTTAATGTTATTCAATTTGCAGGGATCTTTTTAGTAACTCGTTGTCAGGCCATATTCCTTTCGAACTGGGAAAACTGTCTTCCCTCCTTACTTTGTATGAAAAATACACTCACCGCTTCTTTTATTTTCTCTTCCAAGTGTACTATAAATCACCTACTTATTCCTATGTTTCCCTTGGTAAAAAGGAATCTGGATGACAATAATCTCGAGGGAAACCTTCCTATAGAACTTGGGAATTTGTTCAACCTTACAGAGCTGTAAGTATCTTTCTTTTTTATTTTTAACAATGGGGAAGTCGAATTGGTCAGTCATCATTGCCAGTCATCCTAAGGGAGGAATGGTATAGCATGCAAGGTTAAATTGTTATATCTTTGGCCCTAATTTCTTCCAGCTACTTGTCATCCAACAAGTTTAACGGAAGTATTCCTGAGACATATGCCCAACTTGTCAATCTGGAAGTCTTGTAAGTTTCTTCCTTAATTTCAATGTAATGTATTTAGTTCTACTATTCGTTATCATTAAAGAAGGCTTTTGTGTCAATGCAGTGTAGTTGGTGGAAACAATATGTCTGGTAAGATACCTAATTATTTTGGAAATTGGTCCAATCTCACCAAACTGTAAGTGTTCTATAATGAGTGTTTGTTTTTTTTTCTCTCCTTATTCTTTAATATGATAGTCAATTTAAATGATATGATCTATAGAAGAGATAATTAAATTTATCAAGCTAACCAATTCGATTTAGCTGACCATATTATTATGTACTTGTCAGGATTCTTGTAGGAAATAATTTTAAAGGGGATCTGGCTGCAGAAACTTTTACTCTGCCAAAATTACAGATATTGTATGTGCAGCCCTGTGATGCCACGGATTTTATTTTATTTACATGTGCAGATAGAGATGAAACGTGTTGTTTTCTTATTAATGAACTCTAAAGTCTTGTTCGATTATTCCAGGGTGGTCAGTGACGTAAGTAATCCTGGAATATCTTTCCCAGAACATGAAGTAATATCTAGAAGTTTGATTAAAGTGTGAGTATTGTTTATCTCCGTATAGTGTTAATTGCTGGTTATCCATCATAGAAGCTAAAGTCTAGCCCTGGAAGCTATCATACATACAGCCTAGCAGAAAAGACTAGAGATATTAAATAGGAGATTCATTCTAGGATCAGAACTTAAGAAGGGCGGGGTGGCATTTAGGAAGGGGAGGGCTAGTTTTTTTTTATTTAGCTAGAATATCAAGGCCTATTGCTCATCCTGATAAATGAAAACTAAATCTTCAAATATGATTCCCTTACTTCTTCAATTGTTTGTACAGGATTTTGAGGAATTGCGATATTAGGGGCCCAATACCTGAATACATTGGCTGGTGGCCTCAGTTAAGATATCTGTACGTTCACCTTGCTTTCTCAAATATTTATTCCATTTAGGTAGTTTAACTTTTTACTCATCTAAGGCTACTTTTGGTATTGCGGTGCAACCACCGCGCCACTAATATTGGGCCAGCGCACAAGAAGTTAGTTATAGTCGTTGGTATTTTGGCTCCCTGCACTTATTCGCAACTCTTGCTTATTCTTTCAAACTTCAGTATGAAAAAATCCACATTATATTATCTATGTTGAGTACTATATATAGAACCAATATTCGATGTGTTTTGCTTTTGTCTTGCAGTGACCTGAGCTTCAACAACTTAACTGGTGCCATTCCCGATTCATTTCAGAACATTAGTTACAAGTTGTATGTGTTCTTTAAACATTAGACGTTTCTGTTTATTTTTATGATAATGTACAGCTGGCAGACCAATGTTGCTAACGGGTTGTTGTTTCCTGCGTAGATTGCTAACAAACAACTCGCTTAATGAGCTTCCTTCCTGGATCACTAGCAAGCAAAATCGATCTTCCTATCCTGAAATGTAAGACAGTACTTAGATTGACAACAAATTTCTTTAGTATAACTTACTGCCATGGACTTATACTTACTCTTGGCGTGAAGCATGATTCAATAGTGCAAGAGTAGATTGGCTATAGTGTACATAATTTTTATTTGTTCAATCATTCATATATATTTAACTATATTATTATAATGTATTATTTTCTGTTAAGCCATGTTCTTAATGGCTATAATAGCTACTTAATAAATCACTTGAAAATCATCAAAAAAAAATATTATTATAGTTATTATAATTATATTTATTTGTAATGTTTGTATTGTATTTAAACAGGAATAGCAATAGCAATAGATCTCATATGCATTAAAATTGCTCAACCTGTTGAGTTAGGCTCAACAATTACATAATATTAAAAACTATCTCATTTCATAAACTTAAATTACTATATTTAATCAATTATATTATTTTATTTTTTTTAATGTTTGTATTGTATATAAACAAGAATAGTAATAGATCTCATATCCATTAAAATTGCTCAACCTACAGAGAGTTAGCTGTTAGGCTCAACAATTACATAATATTAAGTTATTATTTGATATCCCTAAAATAGTTTGTGACAATACTTTTAAATAAAAAAATTTTAAATTTAAAACTTACATATGTCTATTACTGCTTTATATTTAAATTTTAATTTAAATTAGATTCAAATGAATTTATGATTTTTGTTAAAGTATTATCTCATGACAAAATTTTAAGTTATTCGATGAGGTTTTATAATATGATTTATATTACTTTCTAGTACAACTTCTTCATAGAAAAATATTTTTTGAACTTGAAATTTGCATAAGTTTATCACTATCTTATATATAAATTAGTTTTAATTAGAAAGAATAGGATAATTAGTGCAATTCTTTAATATCATATTGAAAAACTATTTTAATTCAAAAGTTTAAACCATTAAATAAAATATCTGAAATGGTTTTATATTAACTCTCTAAGAATATTAAGATTTTATTAAATTATTCATAATATATAATCAATAGAGGATTTTAAGAATATATATATGAGTGCATGCATTACGAATGTGTTGTTTGTAAAATGGTAATTTCTCCTTCTCCTTGACTAATTTGTTTCTTTTCCACCTCAACATTGTGTTGAAATATGAAGCATTTTAGAGAGTACGTAATTTTATTTATTTATTTTTTAATAATCGTGGATTTTATTAAAAACATGGCTATAGAGAGTACGTAATTTAAATTATATAAGCTTCATGTTTATCAGTTGTTATTTTGCAGGTATCTTTCATACAATAACTTCAAAGAGAATTGTGCAAATTCAACATGCTTGGACACGGAAAAAGTACACATGTAAGGGGACAGAGCAGGCTCCAATCCATCTGGCTTTCTGTGACACTGTTATTTACTTTCGTAAATCACTTTTGAAAGTTTCACACTGATTTATTTTTTTTTATGATCCATGATCTTGGTGCTTTTCCAGTCATCCGACTAGGTATGTGGTATCATCATTTTCTACAACAAGAGTAATCATGAAGTATTTCTAACAAATTTCTCTGTTAATTTCTTAGATCTTTCATAGATAAGATGATGCAGAAAGAAACATGTCGTCGAAAGCGTATGTTCATTCTTCTGATAGCTAAATGAAGTTGTTTCGCATATACTGTATATCAAATTGGAATTAGTTATTTAAACCTTCGTCTTCTTTCTTTACACAGATAGAGAATGCTACAATCCTTAGTCATTGGACAAACTGTCTAGGGGTTAGCATTAGTACATGAACTAGATTGGCCACCATGGCCAAAGTTGAGGAGCTATTTTGGTCTCCTTAAAAGGGCATTTTTTAGTCTCAAACTCTCTAAAGAGAGGGTTTGAACATAACACTTCCTTGCAAGTAGAAGGAAATCACTAAAATTAGACAAGAGGTCTATTGATGAAATTCTTATCTAACTTAATCATTGAAAATAATATGGAGAGAATTGTTTCTTCTGAATTCTATCCACTTTATGAGAACAATCATCTTTCTACTGAAAATAAGTTTTCTCGCAGATAATTCCTTGTATATAAATTGTGGTGGTGAGGAGGTAACCGTGGGAAAGGCTCATTATCATAACGATACCTCAACATCAAATTTTTTTCAAAGTCCAAATGACGATTGGGCTTATAGCTATTCTGGAGACTACCTTTGGGCCACAATCAATGACAGTACTATAGTAAGAAACTCGACATGTGAAGTTTCTAGTCCCGAGGCAAAATTAAATAACAATTTCCGCCTTGCTCCTGTCTCTCTAACGTATTATGGGCTTTGCTTGAGTAAAGGCAAGTACCATGTGACACTTCATTTTGCTGAAACATTATATTCAAAGGGAGAAGATAACAGCAGAGTAGGGAAACGTGTGTTCGATGTGTATATTCAGGTAAGTATTTCACTTTTCAGAATGCCAATTTATGTAGTAATATCACACTCTTAAGGAACTCTTGATGGCAGAAAGAGAGAGTGGAGAAAGACCTCAACATAAAGGAAGCTCTTGGAGGACAAAATGAAGAACTAAAGCGAAAATACACCACCAAAATACATGATGGTTCGTTGGAGATCCGTTTCTTCTGGACTGGCAAAGGATCTCTGTACAATCCACCTGCTATCAATGGACCTCTCATATCAGCTATTTCAGTCACCCGTGGTAGGAAAGGAAGCAAGACTTACCCTTTTCTGATAAAACCCAGATTTCTGTTAATCTGAGAATAAATTATTGCTTGCATTTTACAAGCTGCTGTTTTTTTGTTTCCAAAGTTCCCAGAAAACTACGCCCTTGGGAAATCGCGGTGATTGCAGTAAGCTGTATTTTGTTTCTGCTGCTGCTGTTGGCTTTCATGTGGAGAATGGGCTGGATAGGAGACAGAGAATTACGGGGTAAACACTAAGAGAAGAAGATTTATGAACATAATCTGTTATCTATCTCAGTAATTCTTAAGATAATCGTGGTTTAACTCATTTGTTATTTGAATAGAAACAAAAGTGAAGATCGGAGGAAAACCTTTCACCCTTAAACAGATCATTGATGCAACTAGAAATTTTAGCCCCGAGAACGAGCTTGGTAGGGGGCGTTCTGGGATAGTATACAAGGTTAAAATCTTTTCCTGTTCATAAACTTTTGTCTTTGAAGGGATAATTTTTTTCATTTTCTTTGATTCCTCTTCGTTTCTTCATGTGGAGAAAGCAGGCTGACCTGCCAAATCTGACAGTAGCAGTGAAGAAGCTAGATCCAAAGTCAAAAGCAGTTGATGAAATAGCAAGCGAAGTTTATGCTAAGAAGGCCTTGGACTTGAAACATGACAACGTTGTTACATTGCTTGCTAGTTATTCCAGAAGGCACCTGCATTTGCTCATCTACGAATACATGAAACATGGCTCACTTGAACAAGTTTTATTTGGTAATTTTTTCTTTTTATCTCAGTTTCAATCCCAGTGTTGATTACCATGTTGCTTCTGTTATATAGCTAGGATTTATTTGATATGTTTCATTTTATGAAAGAATGTTTTAAAACCATAGATGAGGTATCCTGTTTTCATGATATTTTACGTTTCTGTGTCTAATTTTTTTAATTAACCTTTTCTATTGTTTTGTATTCAAATTTTATTCTCTCTATACAACAGTTACTCACGATTGATGTTCATCTTTTGAGATTGTAATGGTATAGCTTCCACATTCATAAAACTCTTGGAACTTTGAAAGGTTTCACTGCTCTGTGTGTGTGTGTGTGTGTGTGTGTGTGTGTGTGTGTGTGTGTGTGTGTGTGTGTGTGTGTGTTGAGTTTGATTTTCAAAATCTACAACGTGAGAGGATATTGACTAGTGCCATGGGGATATGCAGGCACAAATTCTACAGAGCAGCTCGATTCGCCGGAAAGATCTACAATCTGCCAGGGTATAGCGAAGGCCTTGAAGAATCTACTTAGATGGAATCCACAAACAATTCAAAAAAGCACAGGTAATGATTTAGTTGTTTATATGTGGATCAATCAAAACAATTTTAATGAAGAACATGACATAACTGAATTGAAGCCATTTTTTTTCCTCACACAAAATTTAACTTATATCGCTATATGTGTGTGTGATAGATTGAGTATTGACTTGGTTATTTGCAGATTCAAATCCTAAAGTGCAACTTGATTGGCAAAAAAGATTTAATATCTGCAAGGGAATAGCAAAGGGTTTGAAGTATCTACATGAAAGGAAGCCACAAATAATTCACCGAAACATTAAATCCACTAATATTCTGCTTGATGCAAGTTTGAATCCCAAAATATCAGATTTTGGGTTGGCAAAGCTTTACGAGGAGGGAAATCCATATATTGCAGTTGGAGCAGGAAACCAACTGTAAGCATAAAATTATCTTACAATTTTATTTTTCTATGAAGTTTAATTCCGAATACAGGAAAGGTGCCGATCATAGTAATGCACCTTTTCATACTGTTATTAAAGGTGGCTCGGGTCGGGTTTTAAAATAAATATTAGAGGAGTTAATTCGGTCAAATTCAATTAACTTAGTAGGCTAAAACTTGGTTTGATTTTTTTAGAAAAAATATAGTTTTAACTTCAAAAAACACTTAAAACAACTCCATTTTGAATTGAACATAGATTAACCCGTTTAATTCATGACCCGGAACAGGTTTAATAACTTTGCCTTTTCAGCTGATAGTTGACACAGGCTGCTTAGAGAAAGAAATTGGGTTCCCTATTTAATCTATCATTTCTTTGCAATTTCAGTTCATACATGGCACCAGAATATGCAACCCGAAGAGCCATGACTGTCAAGGTCGATGTCTTCAGTTTTGGGATCCTTCTTCTTGAAATCGTTAGTGGGAAAAATAATGCAGATTCTAGTGGAGACGAAAACTCTGTTTTTCTTCTAGATACGGTAAGAGCTAGAAACAGTTTCTCTTTAATTAAACGTTTTAGTCAAAATAACAAAAATTAAGTACCCGCTTCAACGCTTTATCTTAAAAAATGGAAAAAGAAGAATCTACCATTGATATTTTCCGGTCTCATAGCAACCATCATCCAATTGATGTATTCAAGAAACTCATAATTTAGGATTGGATGTTTCAGTATTATTAGTATCCATCGATCGGACATTAATGGGGAGTAAAAGTATGTAGAATTATTAGTATCCATCGATCGGACATTAATAGGGAGTAAAAGTATGATACTCTTTTGAGGACTTATTGCTTAAAGGTTCTCACATAAGTGCAGGCCAGTAAGTTGCATGCGAAGCAAGAACTTGAACAGCTAGTTTACACAAGGTTGGACACAAGTAGTGAAAGCGGACAAGCAAGCATTGCCTTGAACCTGGCAATAATGTGCACCGATCAATCACCTTCTCTCAGGCCTACAATGTCTCAGGTTGTGGCTGTACTTGAACGTTCAAAAACCCTTGAGGATATTTCTAAAGAGATCAATGCCTCGGCATGATTTGGCGTCTGTCCCGCGTTACCGGATGGTCGATATAGCTTGTGGCTGTGTGTTTTGTTTAGTTTCTCTACATTTATGGATGGTTATCTCCTTGGTTTCTTTTACTTGATGTCCTCGTGTTTTTCAAAGAGATCAATACCTTGGAACGATTTGCAGTCTGTCCTGCAAGACCTGATGGTCGATATAGCTTGCGATTGTGTGGTTTGTCAATTTCTCTATATTTATGGATATTTATCTTATTGTTTTCTTTTATTCCTTGACGCCCCTGGTCTTTTTTATTGGAATCTTCTTGGAAAATATTGGAGTAAAAAATGCTCCCTCTGGTACCATAAGAGAGTCCTCTTGTTTTTTTAGATGCCCCAAAATGTACGTCTTTTGCCAAAAAAAAATCAAAAAATTAAGAAAAGGTATATGCCAAGAATACTAGACTTTTCTTTACAGATTCTAATGCACAAAGCTGGCTCTTGTTTTCACCAAGTTTTTGGATGGGTGTTTTCTTAACTTATTTGAGAGAGACAAATAAATAAAATCAAATACATCAATTTAGTCATCCAAAGGACACAATATTGCAAAAATAGAAAATTATTTAGTTAATTCCTTTATTCTTGAATATCTACCAGGAACATCAAGAAAAATAATTTTAAAGGGAATCTACTTCTTGACAAGTCTAAAATAGATATTGTGGGATCCATCAACCATGACTTAGGTCATTTTTAATGGTGGAAAATATAAAACTATTTAGTTAATTCCCTTATTCTTGAATATCTACAAGGAACATCAAGAAAAATAATTTTGAAGGGAATCTACCTTCTTGACAAGTCTAAAATAAATGTTGTGGGATCCATCAACCATGACTTAGGTCATTTTTAGTGGTGGAAAATATAAAACTATTTAGTTAATTCCCTTATTCTTGAATATCTACAAGGCATATCAATGGAATCTACCTTATTGACAAGTCTAAAATAAATGTTGTAGGATCCATCAACCATGACTTAGGTTATTTTTAGTGGTGAAAAATAGAAAACTATTAAGTTAATTCCCTTATTCTTGAATATCTATAACTAATATCAACAAAAAGAATTTTAAAAAGAATTTATCTTTTTGACAAGTCTGAAATTGATGTTGTGGAATCCATTAACAATGACTTAGGTCATTTTTAGTGGTGGAAAATATAAAACTATTTAATTAATTCCCTTATTTTTGAATATCTACAAGGTACATCAATGGAATCTACCTTATTGACAAGTCTAAAATAAATGTTGTGGGATCCATCAACCATGACTTAGGTCATTTTTAGTGGTGGAAAATATAAAACTATTTAATTAATTCCCTTATTTTTGAATATCTACAAGGTACATCAATGGAATCTACCTTATTGACAAGTCTAAAATAAATGTTGTGGGATCCATCAACCATGACTTAGGTCATTTTTAGTGGTGGAAAATATAAAACTATTTAATTAATTCCCTTATTTTTGAATATCTACAAGGTACATCAATGGAATCTACCTTATTGACAAGTCTAAAATAAATGTTGTGGGATCCATCAACCATGACTTAGGTCATTTTTAGTGGTGGAAAATATAAAACTATTTAGTTAATTCCCTTATTCTTGAATATCTACAAGGCATATCAATGGAATCTACCTTATTGACAAGTCTAAAATAAATGTGGTGGGATCCATCAACCATGACTTAGGTCATTTTTACTGGTAAAAAATAGAAAACTATTTAGTTAATTCCCTTATTCTTGAATATCTACAAATAACATCAACAAAAATAATTTTAAAAAAAATCTATCTTCTTGACAAGTCTGAAATTGATATTGTGGAATCCATTAACAATGACTTAGGTCATTTTTAGTGGTGGATCCATTATTTGTTTTCTTTTTTATTTTCCCTCTAGTTTTCCCCTATAATTGCCCCCCTTCAGCTATCTGCCAAAAAAGAGAAAGTGGCTTTAACAAAGCATCTATACCTCAGCCCTTTTATATTAGCAATGATGACCCCAAAATTATTCTAATCTCCAATGCTTGGACTATGGTATGGCTTCTCTCAGTAGTTCTTTACAGTTCTTTGGTCACAGCTAAACGAACTCCGCCGCTTGCAGCAAGGTGAATTTTTCTTTTTCTTGCTCTCACGACCATCTTTGTCTTTATGGTTCAGGCTACTTGAGTATGCTTTCACTTCTAGCTTATGTTCTTCGATTGATAAACTTTTTCTGTCCTTTCAGGATTTAAATTTCCGCCCTGAATATTCAAGATCTATTAGCAGTCATCGGTAAGCATTAATTTCTAACTCAATTTCTCTTTTAAAGGCTGTTGATTTGTTATGTTGAGTTACGAGTGATCAGATTAGGTTTCCAGCGTTGAACCATGGAGTCAATTTGCCAACGTAGGTTGTTGCTGAAACTGGACGTGCCTTCCATTTTTCTAATCAAATGTTTTTTTCAAGGACTAGAAAATAGAAACTCTATGATTTACTTGCATGTAATTGATGAAATGTTCGAATTTCAGAAGGCTACAGATGGGAATGAAGTTTAAAATCTATATGGTCTGTAGGACGCTTTCGATTGTATCGCATTCGTGATTTATCATTATAGATGACTATGGAATAAAAAAAAAAAAGACTTTCTTCTACAGGTAAAATACAAGAAGATGGCAGTAGTAGATGCTATGCTTCAAGTCCTGACACAACAAGTGTTCACAGCTCTGCAAGAACATGCTAGATTTGCACTTGACTTCAAAGATCAGTTTGAATTGATGAAGACCAGGCTAGACCTTACGAAGGCCCTGCTTGCTGACACAGAGAACCTCAAGGAAAAGAAGAAAGTTGTCCAGGCCATTTTGATTAGATTGAGAGACCTAATTTACGAAGCTGACAACATAATGACAGATTGCCTTGTTAGAGATGAATATCAGAAAGAAGCATCCTGCACCAGTTTGACACTTAAGAAGCCACTGTTCTGGTATCAAACAGGCAAGAAGTTGAAGGACGTTAACGCAAAACTGGGGGAGATGGAGAAGTCACTAGGCGAGCATTTAAAATACCAGGACCAGAGCGACCATGGAGATAACACATCCCAGAGTATGAAATACACAGCACAGGACTATGTTCCGTCTGAGATAATTGGACTAGAAGAGGATCTGAAAAGGTTAAAGGGCTGGATTGGTGACACAAAAGATGAACTTCTCCTAGTTGGCATCGTCGGGATGGGAGGCTTGGGTAAAACCACCTTTGCCCAGAAAATTTTTAATGATCAACATGTAGCTGGTCGTTATGATAACATGATTTGGGTGTCGGTTTCTCAAGCTTCAAGTGACATGAGGATCATGAGGAGCATGCTGGAACAATTAGAATCGCATTGCTCTGTGTCTGATGAAGCTCAAATGTTGCACAAACTCAATGAACTACTTAAAGGCAAGACATGCCTCATTGTTATGGATGATGTATGGAAGATTAATCAAGGATGGTGGAATCAATTTTTCTCAGGGTTGCAGAGTGCAGTTGGAGAAAGCAGCTGCATCATAATCACAACTCGAAACGAAGAAGTCTTAACTAGCATGGGAGTTGACAAGTCACGGATTCATCGGCCAAAATTGCTAACAGCCAACGATAGCTGGTTGCTGTTCAGCAAATCTGCGTTTTCCAGGTGCAGGGATAGAAAATGCCCAGATGCTCAATTCGAAAGAGTTGGTAAAGAACTCTTGGAGAAATGCGGGGGACTTCCACTGGCAATCAAGGCAGTAGCAGCACTTTTGGCTCCAAGATCAAATTCAGTTCTCCAATGGAATGAAATCAATGAAAATTTTCATGAATTGACTGCCGGAAGAAATTTTACCTCAGTGATGGCGTCTCTTCAACTGAGCTATGATGAACTTCCAATACATTTAAAACAATGTCTATTGTGTTTCTCCGTTTATCCCGAAGACTCCGAGATACAAGCAGAGCAACTGATCCATTGGTGGGTTGCAGAGGGGCTAATCCAGGGCAAGGGCTCAAAAACCGCAAAAGAATTGGGTTTTCGTTACCTCTCTGAACTAGTCACTAGGTGCTTGGTTGAAGCTGTGAATAGACGAGGATATGATGGAAGAGTCTACTGTTGCAAGATGCATGACATGGTGAGGGAACTGACCACTAGAATAGCAGAGGAGGAGTCAATTGGCAAATTTGATGAACAGGGCAAGCAGGAAATGACTGCAAATTCTCGTTGGTTGGGTTTTACAAGTGAAATGAACCAAGAACCATTGAAGAAAAGTTCAAAGCTCAGAGCCTTGCTGATAATGTCAACTAATGATCAAGTTGTGTTTGGTAGGCATTTTGGGTTGCTTGGTTCTCTCAGAGTGTTGGATTTCTCCCTGACTAAGTTGGAGAAGATTTCTACAGAGGAACTCGTGGAATGGATTTCCTCTCTTAAACGCTTGGCATATTTGAATCTAAGTGGTATTGTAGGCCTTAAAGAAGTACCATATTCGTTCAGAAAGCTCCGCAACCTTCAGTTTTTGGTTTTTGCTGGACGCAATGACCTAGGCAAAATAGATCAAATCACTTCTTTGAAAAAGTTGGTGGTCTTGGATTTAGGATCTTGTTTCCATTACTTACCTTCAGGAATAGAAAGGCTATCCTATCTTCAAGAACTGTCTGGATTCAAAGTGGCATCCAATAGCAGATCAGCAGCAAGTTGCAAGTTTTGTGATCTTGAAAAACTTGTCCACCTAAGAGTGCTGAGAATGAGTGTCGGCAAGGACAGTGAAATTACAGAAAATGAAAGGGAGGTACTCTTGAAGCTCAAGAAGCTTAAGGTACTAGCCATTGATGCCCAAGATTGTGAAGACAACATTATCTCTACGATGCTTAATATCCTTTCACCTCCTCCAAGTCTCCAAGAGTTGTATCTCAGGCGTTATCACCAAGATACTCTTCCTAGATGGATCAATCCTGAAAGGCTTTCTAAATTGCAATACATTTGTATTGAGAATGGAGAAATCAGTGACTTCCAAACAAGTCCTCTGTCTGTAGATGGAAGAGATTTTCCTTGGAACATTGAAGGTTTATGTTTTAAGGTCCTGCCAAATTTGAAGCTAGACTGGAAAAAAGTGGAAGAGGATATGCCTTCGTTACAATATGCAGAGGTTAGTGGTTGTCTGAATTTGAGAAATTTTCCACATCCTCTCGACAAGCTGGCTACATGGAGGAAGAGTGAAGATTGAAGATTGAAGAGTTGGGAATAGGAAAAAAAAACAAACAAAGTATCATCTTCTCT